ATTTTGAAGAATGTTGGGAACCAAACAGGTGACGGTAGCCACTAACATCCATGGTAGGGAGAAAAAAAAAACTATGTAAGTCAATGGCGACCAGCGACTTTTTGGTTCCCAACATTCTTCAAAATATCTTTTTTTGAATAATGTTGGAACATTTTTTTTGGAATGTTGCAGTTGACTGTAGCCATTGACTTCCATAGAGTTTTTTCCCCTACTATGGAAGTCAATGGCTACTGTCAACTGTTTGCACGAAATGTGTGTTTGTGTGTGTTTGTAGGGATCGTTTGTCGGCCAGTGATATGTTACAGGTGAGGAAGGTGATGGAACACGTGTATGAAAAGATCATCAACCTGGACAGCGAGTCGCAGACAGGCGGTTCGGCCGCAGAGAAACCCAGCGAACAGAAAGAGGAGGAGGACATGGCAGTGCTAGCGGAGGAGAAGATTGAGCTGCTCTGCCAAGACCAGGTATTTCATTAGATGACACCAACACCAGCGCAGTTTTGTTATTTCGGTCATTTTGATACTGTACCTGTCATTTTTGTTGGTAACCGTTTCCAGTAACACTTTACAATAAGGTTTCATTTGTTTTTAACATTAGTTTACTACATTAGAGAACTAACAATGACTGATACTTCTACAGCATTTGTGATCTATAATGTTAATCTCTATCAGCACCTGTATTAATGGTAAATTTGCATTACAATGCATTTACAAATAAGGTATTTTGAAAGAGATATTTTGAAGAATGTTGGGAACCAAACAGTTGCTGGTCGCCATTGACTTATATAGTATTTTTTCCCCCTCCCTATCGTGGATGTCAATGGCTACCGTCAACTGTTTGTTTTCCAACATTCTTCAAAATAAGATATTTTGAAAAAGAGATTTTGAGGAATGTTGGGAACCAAAGAGTTGACGGTAGCCATTGACTTCAATAGTAAGGAAAAAACTGGTAACCGTTTCCAGTAACACTTTACAATAAGGTTTCATTTGTTTTTAACATTAGTTTACTACATTAGAGAACTAACAATGACTGATACTTCTACAGCATTTGTGATCTATAATGTTAATCTCTATCAGCACCTGTATTAATGGTAAATTTGCATTACAATGCATTTACAAATGTCCTAAATTTGCTACTACTTACTGCTTAGTTAATCTTGCTTCTCTATTAGTTAATAGGGTTAGGGTTACTTTATTTCGATAGTCCACTTTAGACATTCTATTAACAGTAAGTAACTTTGCAACTACATGTCAACTAGCAGTTAGTAGAGCATTAGTAGTAGTCTGCTTAATATCTTCTAACACTTTCTTTGTCAACATTCTACTAACCCTAAACCTACCGTCTACTCTGAGAGTTAGTAGACATGTAGTTGCAAATTAATGAGAATTAGTTGACATGTAGTTGACATGTAGTTACAAAGTTACTTATAGTTAGTAGAATGTCTAAAGTGGACTATCGAAATAAAGTGTAACCGTTATCTTTTATTACTTACTGTATATTACTTATCCTTGGTAACTGCACTGCAGTGCACTTACTGTGAAACAAAGTGCAACCAATGTTTCAAAGCAAATCATCAATCTTCTATAGACTTCAATATACTGGATCATCATGATGCAGTCCTTAGGAGCTGGTATAACGACAAGGGCAGGGAATTACTGCTTACATTCTTTGTTCTTCACCGTTTGTCACGTGTACACACTTCCGTCCTGAAACTGTTGGCCCTGAACTGCACGCACCGCAGCATTGCAAATGGACGTGTCTCAGTTGTACAATCATATTGATCGGTGAGACAAGTGCTATATAAGAGCACAACCTCATGGACTCTATCAAGCAGGATTTGGCTATACACCTACATTTAGAACAATCTGTAATTTGTTTTAGAACAGTATTGTGGACAAGCAGTCTGGATGAAGGGTGAGGGAAGTCTATGTGAAATAAAGTCATCATTAAATGTGAGGGGCTTGCAACTGTGTTCCAGTCTTTATTTAACACACAGTTGACGTCTAAACAATTTGATAAATTACCATTATAGGCATATTACAGGCTCAGTCCTCTTGAGTAACCCAAGGATAAGCATCTTGATCATGAACACGATGGTGTATGTCAAGGATCAGCCCTTGGAGGATTTCAATGTACCACCTTTCTGCTCCACATATATCTTTAACACCACCCTCAACATCTTTACACCAGCCTTTTCTCAGGAAATAGAGTCTAACAGAATCATGATGTATGACCATCCTCAAGCGTCAGACAACAGATGAAGCTGCTGACGACTTAAGGTTGGGATTAGCCAATTCCAAGCCCAGCGAGGCGAACAAAGTCTACCTGCCACCAGCAATGTCCAATATTATTATAGCCAAAGGTGCATCCGTTACCATTTGTTACCTGAGTGCGGATGATTTCTCCTTTGGTCAGCTGCATGTCTCCCGTCAGCTCCTTGACAGCGATGCCCAGAGGCTCCAATCACTTACTGAAGTAATTAGTCATCTCAGCAGCCAGGGCCTTCATCGGAGCCACGTATACAATCTATAGAGGCAGGAAAGAGAGACAGGACATGCTCATGATAAATGAGAAAACACCACAGTACCATTTGTTCCCTGGCAACCAGTACAAATAACAATTTACAAAGAAATATGAAGCTGGCTGCTTAAAGTAAGAGTTTAATGGTGATGTATGAAGACTGTCTATCATCGTTGAAGCTGGCATGTGCGTGTGTGAAAACGCGCTTCACGAGACAATGCATCCGTTTACATCTCCAAACTATGGTAAACTTCTTGACACATATTTAATGCTCAAGTCTATCCTTGCTTGACATAAACTAAACAAACGCATCCAATCAGGTCGTGTTGTACCTGAGGCACAAGGACTGGTGCGGAAATGAGTTATTGGCTGCCAGAAAGCCAACAGCTCACTCAACAATATTGTCTCTGCGACTGTCTGTGTACCTTAAACTGATCCTTGCGGATGACTCCCTCAGGCTGAAGGTGTTGGTGGATCTCGTGTAGGATGGTGAGCATGGCGATGTTGGTTTTGCCGGCACCGGTGGGTGTGCAGATGAGCAGGTTTTCATTGGTATTGTAAGCCGTCTCGAACACTATAGACTGAATTCTATTCAACCTCTGCATGCCCTTGAACACCAACTGGCCAATCTGCAAACACACAAGGAACATTTCAATGGCCCATTGATAACAAGATCTTGGACTTGAGATCACGAAATGGCGTGAACCTGTTCAAGGCAAGACGCTGAAGACAGTGAGTGTATGTGTAGCAGATGTGGTGTGGCTACATGTATGATGGAGACACATATGGTCAAAGTGACAGGACACCAGGAGCCAAAACTTAATGAAGCCACTTTAACACACAGCTAATGACAGACTCCTGTCTCCCACAAGGCAATCATCCGTGACTGTATCTAAACGAATCAATCATTGTAAGCCATATTCAAAGGATACTGAACCCAAAGCAGTGCTGGCCGAAAATGAGAAGCTTTGCTGATGCTGTCAGATCAGGTAATTCTCCATGAGAGACTGTTGGGACTTCAATACCTTTATGAATGGCTGAGCGTATACAGAGAGCTTGGAGAGCTCAAACATTAAAACCTTACAAAAGGCCACCAGTACTATGGAGTGGGGAACTCTCTGAGTGGTGTCATGGGCTGTCAATCAATCCGCCCACTCTGGCCAGCTCTGCAGTGACATCACATTGGGGGTGACAGCCATCCATCTCAACAAAGTTCTGATAAGAGATGAAAAGCCACCTAGTACTTTATTGCTACTGCTGAGTATGGTTATTTTCACTACTGCTGTCATTAAAGTAGGGCGGGATGTTACAAGCTTATTAGATCAAAAAGGGGCCAGGAAAGTACAAAAATCTAATCAAAGCACATTGAGTAAAACACTCTAGAACTGTTCTAATTATTTGTCTCTTTCTGTCTACCATCTCCAGGTTTCTGCATCCCTCATTCCTGTGTCGGTGTCTTGGATCAGGGGATCAGGATTCATTAACAATGCTATCGGTCTCTTCTTTTACCGTTCTGCTCTGGCACGCTTTAAATTAAAAGAAAAACAATTAGGCTGAGAGAGTTATTATAGGGCTCAGATCTGATTTAAAGTCAAGACTGAAAAGCCAAACGGAAGGGATTATTAATAGCTGAAAGACGCTTCGAAGCACAGCGGTAAAGATGTGACTGCGTAAGGATTTTCTGGGCAGAAGAGCTGTGGAAAGTTATGCAGCTGTGAACTTCATTACAACAGTGAGTTGTTGTCTTGTGGACTTGTATGTGCATATATAAGAAGTCTGCGCCCATTTTTGACTGGTAGACGTGGAGGACTTGAAGCTCAAGTTCACTGTTAGGAACCTATTGATGCATTTAAATTACAACACACTTTTAAAAATTATGTTTTTGTTTTTTTTTCAAAATCTACCGATACTTGGTATTAACCAATGTAACTTGAAAATAAAACTTTAGTCATCGTTTGTCATCAGAAGATATTTTGGAGAATATCCGCAACAGTTGCTGGTAGCTTTTGACTTCCATAATATGGAGAAAAATACTATGGAAGTCAATGGCTACCAGCAACTGTTTGTTTTCCAACATTCTTCAAAATATCATATTTTGAAGATTGGTGGAAAACAAATGTTGGAATGTTGAAAAACAAACCATTGACGGTAGCCATTGACTTCAATAGTAAGGAAAAAACACTATGAAAGTCAATGGCTACCATCAACTGTTTGTTTTCCAACATTCCAACATTTGTTTTCCAACTTTCTTCAAAATAAGATATTTTGAAAAAGAGATTTTTAAGAATGTTGGGAACCAAAGAGTTGACGGTAGCCATTGACATCAATAGTAAGGAAAAAACACTATGGAAGTCCATGGCTACCGTCAACTGTTTGTTTTCCAACATTCCAACATTCTTCAAAATAAGATATTTTGAAAAAGAGATTTTTAAGAATGTTGGGAACCAAAGAGTTGACGGTAGCCATTGACATCAATAGTAAGGAAAAAAACACTATGGAAGTCAATGGCTCCCGTCAACTGTTTTTTTTCCCCAACATTCTAACATTTGTTTTCCAACATTCTTCAAAATAAGATATTTTGAAAAGGAGATTTTGAAGAATGCTGGGAACCAAACCTCTGACGGTAGCCATTGACTTCCATAGTAGGGAAAAAAAACACTATGGAAGTCAATGGCTACCGTCACCAACAGTAAAGTTGCATGTACAAAATACCATAGTAATGTACAATTATGATTGTATACTTTCATAAATTAAATAAAAATATAAAAAAGTAAAATGGCCCTATGGCACATTATTTATTCATCATTTTTTAGATGTAGAATTAAAAAATATTGTTGAATTTTATGCAAAAAAATGTACATTGCTCCGACCAAAGTGATTTGTGCTGTGATGAAAATCCTTTACCTGATTTGACAAAAATAACCCGTCTTTTAAAAATTGCTTGTAAAGCTCTTATTTTACTATCTATTGGATTCAATCTTTTTATCAACTTGTTTTCTTTCCAATAGCACAGGTTTTTTGTGTTTCTTTCTGGAGATGATTGATTATAGGCCTCATTGATCTGAGCTCATGCGTCTCAGTTTCTGAGTGAAAAATGCATTATTTGTGGATAATTCTGGCTCAAAAACGGAGGCGCATGAGCTCAGAGGCCTACAATCAATCGGATCCAAAAGGAAATAAATAACCCATGCTAATTGAAAGAAAACAAGTTTATAAAAAGATCGAATCCAAGATTTGGTGATATTACAGCGTAATGTGAGATTTATAAGCAATTTTTTTGTAGGCTGGTCATTGTAACAAGGTGAGAAAAAATTCCCCAAAAGTATTGTCAAAAAATAACAACATTAACTAGCATTTTTGCAGAAAAGAAAAACCAGAACGCAACATGAGGGTCAAACGCACCTCATAATTACATAATTATCCCATGATGACTTGAAAGCATCAGATCTGTCGTCTTCCTGCGTATAAACTTAATCAGACATGATGCATGTTCAAAGAAATGTCATCTTTGTGGCATGATGTTGTGCTGCTTTCGTCAGGTTCTGGATCCCAACATGGACCTGCGAACGGTGAAGCACTTCATCTGGAAGAGCGGCGGCGACCTGACGCTCCACTACCGGCAGAAATCCACGTGAGGTCCCGCCCCGTCTGACGCTGCCGTGGAAACTCCATTCGTAACACTTCACATTCAAAGCACACGCTCACCTGCACTTCCTGGTTCTGTCTGACGTCTGTCTACGGGCCGCTCGGCTCACGCATGATTATCCGAGTGTGAACGGGAAGGAGGATCGGTGGAAGAAATGCTGACGAATGTCAAAAAGAGTGTTTTTATGATTTTTTTTCTGGGCATGAATTCTCTCTTGATGGATGTTTTTTACCGCCTCTTTCTCTTCTCATTTAACATTCCAGTGATGTGTTTGTTAGCAATGACGTCATCAAATCCAGTCAAAGCCGAGGAACTGGTTTTTAAACAATCGTGAATGTTTAAGGAGCGCCGCCGATGAAACGCGTCGATGAACTGAACATCTGAGAAAGCTCCAAGAACGCCATTTCCCATGATGCATCTCTCTCTCTCTCTCTCACTAACGTGCTGTGATCATCAGTGCATCCGTTTTGTACATATATTGTAATTATTTTGTAGTCGACTTGAACTTGAGTTGGAGATTAGGAAGGTTTACATTTCTTTTTAAGAAAATGTACGGTATCTTTTTCATGTAAAATATGATGACGGAAGTGTAGAGAGTGGAAAAACTCAAAACGTTATAAGCAGACATAGAATCAAATGTTTTTTTTTTAAAGGAATAGTTCACCCAAAAATGAAAATGTGCTCATCCTCAGGCCATCCGAGATGAGTTTGTTTCTTCATCAGATTTGGAGAAATGTAGCATTGCATCAGTGTCTCACTGCAAGTGAATGGGTGCCGTCAGAATGAGAGTCCAAATAGCTGATAAAAACATCACAATAATCCACAAGTAATCCACAGCACTCCAGTCCATCAGTTAACATCTGGAGAAGACAAAAGCTGAAACAAATCCAGCATTAAGACACTTTTAACTAAAATACATTGAGTTCATAATTCATAATAACGCTTCCTCCGGTGAAAAAGTGTTCTGGTGTGAATCAGGAGAGAAATCTGCACAGATCAAACAGCGTTTAAACAGCTCTAAACACATATGTGGCTGGATTTTGATGTGAGAGACAACAGCAGATGCACTTTTTCACTGGAGGAAGAGTTATTATGGATTATGGACTCATATTTGAGTTAAAAACATCTTAATGCTGGATTTGTTTCAGCTTTTGTCTTCTCCAGATGTTAACTGATGGACTGGAGTGGTGTGGATTACTCGTGGATTATTGTGATGTTTTTATCAGCTGTTTGGACTCTCATTCTGACGGCACCCATTCACTTGCAGTGAGACACTGATGCAATGCTACATTTCTCCAAATCTGATGAAGAAACAAACTCATCTCGGATGGCCTGAGGGTGAGCACATCTTCAGAACATTTACATTTTTGGGTGAACTAGTCCTTTAAAAGGAATAATTCACCCATAAATGAAAATTATTTACATATGCTGAAAATTTTAATAACTGTATGCTGTTGTAATATAGAAATATCTGCATGAAGATTCTTTAAAAAAAAAAAAAAACAGCTTACTGATTTAGAACGATATGAGGGCGAATAAATTAAAATTTCCATTTTTAGATGAATTATTCCTTCATCCAGATTGTTTGCTGCAGAGCGTTATCTTTCCTTCCTGTGCGTGGACGGGAAAATTCACTAAAAACTTTTTATATATATATATATATAAGGTATAAACTCTTGAAGGATGACATCACTGGATGGCAAAACTCAGTTCATGATTTTAATTTATGCAAAACAAAAACTGTTCTGCGAACGTTTGTCAATCATACAAAGATTTGCACAGTGTTCTAACGACATTATATTCATGTATATACTTGGTCTTAGTTTAAAGACAATTAAGATGATAATTATAGAAATACTAAACCATCAGAAACTAAATCATCGTCCATGTCCACACCCCCTGTATTTATGCTACCTGTGTTGATTGTAATTATATGCAGTATATTTTGGGTTAATAACAGCTTAATAAATTAACCAAGAATGAATTGGTAACCTGATGTTAACCTGCTTTAACTAGAGATTCAACTCTGGACCAGTTTTTACAGGCTTGTCTGGTTATTAAAGAGAACTGAAATAAACCGAAATGATATGCATTATATTATTTTCATGCATTTATGAAAGTGCATTTAAAGTCTTCAGAGGAACTATTCGTCCTGATAAAGGAAACCAGTATAAACCCAGCAGGTCAGTACGTTTGAGGTTATTCTCTGATATATTCAGCTAAATAAGCCTAAACTAATGACATGCATCCTCTATGGGTCAATTATCAGTTTATATGTTATAATTATCTCTATATTTCTCATTTTCAGAAGCAGTAAACAGTGCCTGCGTTTGCATGTCAGTATTTTAGAGGTAAGCATGAGGTGCGTTTCTCTGTTGATCACGCGTGACACTGTATTATAATGCAGAATAAATAAGGTCAGTTATACAGATTTACTCGTTAATCTCGCAGCTTCTGCACCAACTATACATAATACATTTTTGTTATTTTAAAAAAAATTTTAAATGGCACTTGAGCAGTGTACAGTGTGGACTTTGGGTTTATATAATGAATAATCAGGTTATTTTATATGATTTATCTGAAAAAATATATATATATATCATAATACAGTACGTAATAATGATGAACAGATCTTGCAGCACCTGGTCTGCACCAGCAATGTAGTCAGAATAAAGCTTCAGTGCAGCAGAACTCAGTTCCACGTCCTGAAAGAGCGAGCCAGTTAAAAATACAAAAACTAAAACACACAGAAAAGTCTCAATTTGAAGGAAAACAAGTTTATTTTGTACGTTATTGGTCTATTATTTTATATTTATTTATATATATATATATAATTATGTGCATGACAATATCAGCAATATCGGAACAAGTTTCAAAGTAAAATGAGAAGGCATCAGTAAAGTGCAGCTGAACTGTGTTATAACTCTGCATTATAATGACTGAAGACAGTTCTGCTGAAGTGCACCTTCCCAGGCTTCCCTCCGTGTGTTATACACCAGCAGCTTCAGCATGTTTTTTTCTGCTGTAAAGTTGGGCATTTTAACATGGGGAGTCTATGGGACTGACTCCCTTTTGCAGCCAGCCTCTAGCGGCCAGTTGATGAATTACAGTTTAAG